GTTAACTTATTTTACACTTCTATGAAATATATATTTTCTACTTTTTTCAACAAAACATTTCATTTGTCCAAGATATTTTTCAGGTTTGTCTACTTTTCGTCTAATTGCTTATTATTTATAGAGATTTAATTGTCGGGGTCAATGCTTGTTGAATAGGGTTTCTCTGAGAAATTGGTATTTCCACTGATTTGAACCGGTGAAAGTGATCGTTTATAACGATGTGGGTGGTAGACAGTCTCAGAACTAACTTTGCTTGCTGAAGATATGCCTTGGTGAGAGGATGCTTCTAAATCCGGTTTTCTTACCCAAGCCTAATTGTTTCATGTAGTTGTTAAAGGTCGGGGTTGTTCTTTCACAATTAGTTCCAACAGTTTCTCTGGCTACATCTTCAATTGAGCCAAAATTTTCCGATACATTTCGATCTCGTTGTAGAAAGCCAGATGATGAGACCAAGGTTTCGTTATAGATAAACTTGCTATTCCTTTGGTCCATATCTTTGTCGCGAATTGTGGAATGTAAATCATGAAAACACACTAGCCCATTTGATACTTTAGTCGAGCTTGGCGGCGGATGGTTATAGATCACAAAAAAACCGGTATTTTGTTGAGATGGAACTTTTTGGTAAACAGTCATGGGAGTAGTGTTCCGATTGAGCATTTGATTATCACAATGTAGAGCATCTTTGTTGGAATAGCAAAGAGTGTAATTTATGGGTCCGGATGTGAGTTCTTCTCCTTTTACAGGCCGGCTATGGCGCTCCTTTGCCTTGTTAAGGATGTTTGGACGCAAAGAGCCAATCTTATTAATAAGGTGAACAGGTTTGGTCGGCATGACTACATCACCTAGAGCCGGGGTGGATTGATTTGTGCCTGCTTTCGATCGCGAATCTAATACGTTAGGGGAAGTCACAGGCTGTGAAGTTTGAGCATTGGCTAGTACATATTTCTGGACCCCAGCTTGCGCCTCTTTATTTATCGTACCTTTAGTCCGTTCCGCATAGATGGCATCTTGATGGGCCTCCAAGATGCTTGAATTAGAAGACAAGGCGCTTTCATGCCTGCTTCGAACAATGCTTGAAATGGCTTTTCTATCTTTCCTCACCTCATCATACAGTACAGTATTGTCGGCATGCTGACCCATATTATCAAAGGTTTTCGTTCTGGTTAATGTATTCACTGAATTGGGATAGCATTGGGCATTATCCAAGGTGCCATTTTCATCAAAATCTTTTTTATCAAGTATCCCAAATTGCTCATTAGATGAACTCAATTCACTGGGATAATTTACATTGTTAGGGAAAGAATTCTCCTTTTCAGAAGGTAAGGTTTTGGAAACCTTGAACACAAGAAATGAACTGCGACCCTCTCTGTTTCCATCTGAGATGGTGACAGAGGAATTTGACCGATGAGCAACTTGCTTTTGAACAGAACCCAACTTTTGCTTTACACTTTTGTCTATATCCTTGGTGTCCTCATCGCTATCAATAAAAACTATTTGGGAGTTGCGCCTTCTGTTTGGATTGACAGCCGGTTGAAGAGAGTTTTTTGGCGCCTTCGTGGAGTGAGAAAAGGAATGATTATTGTAAAGACTTCTGTTGCCACGTAGCTCTGAAATCGGCTGTACTTCAACCTTTGCT